GCAGCAACAGCAGCAACAGCAGCAGCAGCAGCAGCAACAGCAGCAGCAGCAGCAGCAGCAGCAGCAGCAGGGTGTTGTCTTACTATGCCGTTGCTGATAGAAAGTTTTGTATGAAGCGGCGTTTGCTGCTGCGGCAGCAGCAGCAGCAGCAGCACGTTCTGCTTCCCCTCGCTGCACTGCAGCAGCTGCAGCTGCCTCGATACTATAGTCTTTCCTTTTGCTGCTGCTGCTGCTGCTGCTGTTGCTGCTTCTGCTGCTGCTGCTGCAGGTGCTGCTGGTGCTGCTGCTGGTGCTGCTGCTGCTGGTGTTTCTGCTGTTGCTGGTGCTGCTGCATCTGCTGCTGTTTCTGCCTCTGCTGTTGCTGCTTCTGCTGCTGCCGCTGCTGCGTCTTGTGTTGTTGTTGCTGCTTCTGCTGTTGCTGCTGCTTCTTCTGCTGCTGCTGCTGCTTCTGCTGCTTCTTCTGCTGCTGCTGCTGCTGCTTTAAAAGCAGGTGCGTCTGCTGCAGCTGTTGCTGCAGTTGCTGCTGCTGCAGCATTGTCTGCTGCTGCTGCAGTGGCTGCAGCAGCAATTGTTGTGTCTGCTGCTGCAGCAGGTGTTGTTGCTGCTGCTGCAGTAGGTGTAGCTGCAGCAGCAGCAACTGGTGTTTCTGCTGCAGCACCAGTTGCTGCTTCCGCTTCAGCAGCATCTGTTCTTTCTGCTGCTGCTGCAGCTACCACTTCTGCTGCAGCAGCAGCAGCAGCTACGTCCGCAGCAGCAGCAGCAGCAGTTTTATCTGCTGCAGCAGCAGCAACAGTTGTATTCGCCGCAGCAGCAGCTGGTGCTGCTGTAGCTGCTGCTGCTGCTTCTCCTGCAGCAGTTGCTGCTGCTTCTCCTGCAGCAGTTGCTGCTGCTTCTCCTGCAGCAGTTGCTGCTGCTTCTGCTGCAGCAGTTGCTGCTGCTTCTGCTGCAGCAGTTGCTGCTGCTTCTGCTGCAGCAGTTTCTGCTGCTTCTGCTTCAGTAGGTGCTGTTGCTGCTTCTGCAGGTGCTGCTGCTTCTGCTGCAGCAGGTGCTACTGCTACTGCTGCTACTGCTGCTGCTGCTGCTGCTGCATCTGCTGCAGCAGTTGTGTCTGCTGCTGCTGCTTCTGCTTCTGTTTCAGCTGTTGCTGCTGAAGCAGCAAAGGCATGCGGCAAATCCGAAGTCTTGCTGCTGCTGCTGCTGCTGCTGTTGCTGCTGCTGCTGCTGCTGCTGCTGCTGCTCCCAGCAGCAGCAGCAGCAGCAGCAGCAGCAACAGGGGCCTCGATATTGAGTTGTCTTTTTGCTGTTATAAATTTTGCTGCTGCAGCAGACCTGTCTACCGCCAGCGGCAGCTCAATCACCTGCAGCAGCAGCAGCAGCAGCAACAGCAGCAGCAGCAGCAATTGCAGCAACAGCAGCAGCAGCAGCAATGGCAGCAGCAGCAGCAGCAGCAGCAGCAGGAGCGGGATAGGAACAGTAGATGCTACCGAAGCAGCAGCACGATAGCAGGAGCTTGCAGCAGCAGCAGCACCAGCAGCAGCGGCAGCATCAGCAGCAGCATCAGCAGCAGCAGCAGCACCGGCAGAAACAGCAGCTACCACACGGATCGCAGCAGCAGAAGTGAAGCAGCAGCAGGAGCAACAACAGCAGGAGCAGCAGCAGCAACAGCAGCAGCAGCAACCGAAGCAGTAGCAACACCAGAAACAGCAACAGCAGCAACAGCAGCAGGAAAAACACCAGCAGCAGCAGCAGCAGCAGCAAAAACACCTGCAGCCGCAGCAGCAGCTGCAGCAGCACCACCAGCAGCCGCAGCAGCAGCAGCAGCAGCAGCAGCAGCAAGACCAGCCGCCGCCGCCGCCGCCGCAGCAGCAGCAGCAGCAACACCAGCAGCAGCAGGAGCAGCAGCAGCAGCAGCAGCAGCAGCAGCAGTTTTACAATATTATCTTTGTTGCTGTTTTTTAATGTGAGCTGAATCTCTCTGGATGAAAGCCACTCAACAGAAAGAGCAGAAGGGTGCCTCTGAACCACAAACCCTAAACCCTAAACCCTAAACCCTAAACCCTAAACCCTAAACCCTAAACCCTAGTTTTATATGTGAGTTGTTTGGTAAACACAGAACAGCAAAACACTCTCATCAGATAGAGTCTAGGGTTTAAACCCTAAACCACTTACAGTTTAGGGTTTAGGGTTTAGGGTTTAGGGTTTAGGGTTCTAGGGTTTAGGGTTTAGGGTTTAGGGTTTAGGGTTTAGGTACCACAGAAGGTATGTGTATTTCAACCCGCAGCGCGTCAGTAGCCCTCCCCTCTTGCGGTGTCTGCACAACAAACCCTAAACCCTAAACCCTAAACCCTAAACCCTAAACCCTAAACCCTCATCCTCAGTTAAACGCTAAACCCTAAACCCTCGTTCTCATCGAAACCCCAAACCCTAAACCCTAAACCCTAGCAATTTCCTTTCTCCATGCTGTTGCGCTGCTACGCATAAACCCTAAACCCTAAACCCTAAACCCTAGAACGTAAACCCTGGGTCCTGAGGGATACAAACCCCAAA